TATATATATTATATATAGACGAACCTTATGGTTGTATGGCAGTGAAGCATCAGTGCCAACACTGGTATTGTTGTCTTTGATGATGATGATGATGACACCTGTGATATCAAATTCGTTGCCACCGTAAACTTGAATCCAACAATTCATAACAATGCCCTGGGAATAATAGCAGCCGCCGGATGCATACGTCGTGGTTCCAAAACAAACAGTCAGATATTCTGAAACACGCTGCCACATCAATGTTGTTCAGCTAGGAAGCTCTAAAAAAAATATGTCATCCTGGAGTATATCCTTAATTTTCAGGACTATATATTCCAATTGCAGGGATCGAATTTCTATAAAAAAAGGACTGATGCTCCAAAACAACTACTCCATGTTCTTCTGGTCAAAAAACATAAGCCTCAACGGCGGATACGTGTGTCCTTGCCACTCCCGCAAAATGCTTACATGGAGATGCTAAAAATAGTGGTCTCTTTCGAGAAGAACTTCAACGTCTGATATGGCATTGACGAAACAATGTAGCTTATGATCTATCCAGAAGAAAATAAACGTTTACCAATTCGGAATAATTTTTCTTATGATTTCGGTACTGCAGCATGATACCTACTTGACAGGTGCGCCCGAATCAAGGTAAACCAACTAACCAAACCAAGAGTGATCCTAAAAGACACTCAAAAGAAAATTGCCGTTAAGAATAAGTAAGCTTAACAATATGGATCATCGTGGACGAGAGGTTCATTTCAGTCTCATCACAGTTTAAACATGAGTGCCCAACTTCACCAGTTTAGAGTGCATTTTTCAAATATTCCACTAGTGAACCGTTTTGTGCTGACGCCTTACTTGTAGTGAATGGCTTCCCTGAAATGGGTATGAGCAGCAGGCTTCGGTTACCTGTACAGCACTGTCAATTGCCACATAAGCTCGGAAACTAACTAGTGAGCACCAGAATATCAAGCAGGCAGCAGACGTCTAGTCTGGTGGAACTTTCTCGAACTTTCCAGAATTCACTCAAAAGAACTGCGTGCACTCCGACAACGAATGACCCCATTCCGTCATGTTGAATGCTTAAAAAACTGTGGCGTTTTTCTCAAACTGTTGATTAATGTGCTAAAAGTCCTCGTGCCCTGCAGAGTTGGGCAGAATTTCTAGTGTGCTTTGGGGTACTACCGGACGCATGGAACGCGTGTATACGATATATTTCTGAAGCCGATTAATTTTACGCCATGGGCTATTCGCTTTAAAGCGGTAAGTTAGTTTGGCAGTATCACAGACTTTTCCTGTGAAAAGCCGTCACTTGAGCAGCTTGTCAACACCACGCCACATCACATGAATTGCAGAAGTGGCGCTATTTTCTGTTTGGGATTACGTTGAGCACGCTAAGGATCCGACACCCGTAGCGGAATAGCAGATTCGAAGTTCTGTCAGGAAGTTCACGGTTTCCTATTCTCTCTAAAATTCATTAGGTGCGCACTACTGATTATTTACAACATGGGCGAAGCACTGCTTCTCAGATTTTCCGCTCTCGCCTACAAGCCGAAACTCACATTTTAAGTGCCACACGTGACGGGTATCTACGCACTTTGTTCGCTCGCACGAACAATTTCGAGTGCGAAACAAATTTATTAGGAAAGAACATCATGTCGTCATCATATTTGGTGNNNCATAAACGAGCGGTTCAGCTGGGACCCAAGTGAGTCTACATTCCAAATTTGTAATCAGGAAAGATCGAGGTCTGAGAAATGACTGTACATCGTTCTCAGGGGAATCGCGCTATTAGAAGAGCGCGTCAGCATCTGGCGTTTTGGGTGAAGAGGACTTATGTTGACGCAATATACTGCAAAAACGGCATGTTAATTGCGATTAATCAGCGAGGTGACATTAGGGACAACTAGTGAGCATGGCCGACCCGAACATGTTCCCTGTTGCGGTTGACAGTTCAGTTCTCCATTTTCAACTTTGTCCATCCGATGCCGCTAGACTCCCACTCATAGTCAAAAGCTAGGACCAATACTTCGATCTTCCCTGTTTTGCTAAATCCCCGTGAGTGACCATCACTCAACGAGCCCATCGGCATGATGTTCCGCATACAGACGGTAAGTTCAACGAGTACGATTCTCTCCTATGGGCAAGGGTAGCGAGAAATCTCTGGCATTCCTAAATGATTCGATAACACCTTTGCCAACATTCCTCCAGATCCTGATGATTTTGATTACATAGACAACTTCATCCTGATGTACCAGTAACTACATGTATTGTCAGACGACACGTTCGATAAACTGCAACAGGAATCAGCTGATTCACTTTGAACACGTGCGGATCAATATTGACGCTACTGTTACAATGCGTAGCACTCCTATCTGAACGCGATCTTCCCCACTCCTTAGTTGAAACTGTCCAGAGGAGGTTGATAAAATAGAACATTATCCAAGTTTCCGAACAAAGCTGCAGGAAATCATGATCAGATTAAACAAGAGTTGTGCGGATCATCATAGTGGCCCAAAAACAATGACATCTTCATACAACAAGCCGTTACGTTTCAAAGTGAAAATGATAGCATATTTGTGCATGATAGCCAGTATAATTGAGCTCCTCCCAGGAGGAACCTCAAACAAAAGCCCAGTTTGGAATTCATCTGTCTTAGTAATACCAGAAAGGCTTGCTCACGGAGATACATGGCACCAAAGAGCAAAGTGCAAACCTAGGGCGCTCATCCAACGTGTGAGCTTGATAGCTGAAAAAACATGCATAGAATTATTCTTCCGAAGATCGAACACAAAGAAAACTCAAGCACTCTTCCTTAACAGTGTGAAATGGTCTCCTTCGGTCCAACTCCGTGTGCAAGCGGTTCTCGGATGTGCGTTATTTTTGGGTGATCCAATATGTTCACTTCTCACGCGTTACTTACTTCTCCAAAGTGGACCGAGCTGTGGAGGGTCGATCTTCCGCATACTGATTGTTATCACCGGAGTTTTGATCGGCACCGAAGCCATTGCCTAGATGTAAAAGTACAATTACCAAATGAGCGTACTTTGGTGTGGTTGGTCAAATTTTTCAATTTGTTGAGCACGCCCCCTTGCCTCATGCACTTGCAAGACTAATTGTACAAATGTTGACAACTTCATTCGTTTGAAGATCTCATCATCACGAACCCGAAAATCTGAGTCACGAAATTGAAACGGTGAAAACGATTGTTTCTTACTTTCACGGAACTCTTCCATCTTTTTCAGGTATTTTGACATACTCGCTCCAGTATCCACCGTAGGAGCAACATCTTCATATTTGGGGTTCCTCGGAATGGGCTTCTGCATGGGCTGAAAATGTAAGAAAGTGATGCATATAAGCATTTACATAGATTATCTCACTAAATCACGTCAACCAAACCTAAATAGACAGCAAACAGCGACCGTTGAGCTCAACGACATGGGCTATGATGAATGAGATACTCCCTTCCTGCAAGAAATTACTCCTTTCAAGAAGCAATTATTCCCTGCATGCATTACTTTCTAATTCAATTCCTCTTGAGATGTTCAATCTTAATGTCAAATAGGACATACTCAGTTCCTTGAGTGAGCAACTTATCTCATAAGCAGAAACAACACAATATTGATGTACCTATTGTACACACCAACGTTACAAGTTGAGCCTTTATGCCTTGTTCCTTGACCCCCCCTGCTGCACCAACTCTTCCTAAATGGATCAGTCGTTCAGCTGTAACATCTTTCGGTGCCTAGCTTCAAGGCCACGTGAAAGAAACTGAGAAACTGCCAGGTTGCCCAAACCTAGATAGAGCAGTTGAGATGCGAGAAAAGTTGGGTTCGAACCAAGGGTCTCCCGGTCAGTAAGTTTGCGCTTCA